TCAAAGGCATTGGTTCTTCTTATTTCGTCCTTACTCAATGTCCAACTTCCAGATGAAAATGAAACCATTTGAAAATACCATGCAAAATACAATTGTGAAGTATAGGTGTGTTTTGTGCTTATGGGGGCTAGGCAATTTAATGATGAAGTAATTTATATGGTAACCATTAATCAGGAATGTATATGATAGTCTTTGTATTTAACCAGTAAAGAAAGTTAAACTTAGAGATTAAGTGACTTGTCCAAAATTACTGCTGATGGGTGACAGAAATGAGATTAGAACCTGGGTTTGTCTGGCTCCAAAACCAAGATTCTAAAAGAAGCCTTGGTGGCAGTTACTAGACTAAATATTTTAAGGGCAGAGAAAAGGAATGCCTTCTGGTGCTTTATACCCAGTCTGCATCAGTGCCCAGTATACATGCAAGGAACACATCACAATTGCCTCGAATGCTGGGTGGCAAAGTAAGCCCAGGCTTCTTCCCACATATAGGGTTTGGGCACATCCCTAAATGCTCTTCAAGTACTGCCAAGTTTGAGGAATCAGACATCTCTGTAATTAATAGGGATCCTGACAACACTCACCATGGAAGGAAGTGTAAGGGTTTCTATCTTTGTTTTCAGCCCTGAGAGCTAACTCCTGTTTATTCATTCAGAAAATGTTACATTTTTTAAAAGAAAAATTTTAAAACAGAAAATATTACCTTTTCTTAGGTACCTGATAGCACAGATTAATAGAGGGGAAAACCTGAATCTGACCAAGGTAGAGTTAAGAGAAACTTCCTGGAAAAAGTTTCCTTACACTGAGTCCCAAGAGAGAAATATTGTTGTTGTTGTCATGTGCTGCCAAGTTGGAACCAACTCATAAATAACCTTGCAGCAGGTTTTCAGAGCCTATAAATCACATGAGAGGAGATTGCCCATAGAAGCTGGTGGATGTGAACCATCAATCTTTGGGAGTCAGTCTTTTCTAGATCCATCTTGAAATACAATGTTGTAGGTGACAGGATAATATCCATATGTATACAAAGAAGATCTGTTAATATGGCTATCATGCAAATATATGCACCAACAACTAGAGCCAAAGAGGTGGAAACAGATGATGTCTACCAACTTTTGCAGTCAGAAATCGATCAAACATACAATCAAGATGTGTTAATTGTAGTGAACTCTGATGGCCTAATGGCAAGAAGCTGTACTGCAATCCCAGAGGTGAGCGGTTCAAATCCACCAGATGCTCTGCTGGAGAAGGAGGGACAGTCTCCTCCTGTACCAGTCAGATCCAATTTGATGGTACACACACACACACACACACACACACATTTTTTTTAAAAAGCAAAAATGGTGAGACTTTGTCTCACGTACTTTGAAAAAAAGATGTGTTCATTGTAATGGGTGACTGGAATGTAAAAGTTGGGAACAGAAAAGAAGGATCAGTGGTTGGAAATATGGACATGGTGACAGAAATGAAGCTGGAGATAAAATGATAGAATTCTGTACAGTCATTGATTTATTAATTGCAAATATATTTCATAAGAAACATAAATGATGACTATACTCATGGCTTTCATCTTATGGTATGCACAGGAATCAGATCAATTACATCTGTGGAAAGAACCATTGGAGAAGCTCAATAGCAGCTGTGAAAATAGGCCCGGTGCTGATTGTGGAACAGACCATCAGTTACTCAAATACAAGTTCAAAATAAAGCTAAAGAAAGTTAAATCAAATCTATAGGAACCTTAATTTGACCTTGGTCTATCCCACCTGAACTTAAAAACCATCTGAGGACAAGGTTTGAGGCCTGAGCACTAATGAATGAAGACCGGATGAGCTGTGGGAGGACATCAAGAACATAATCCATGAAGAATGCAAAAGGGCATTACAAAGACAGAGGAGGAAGAAAAGACCAAGATGGTTGTGACTCTGAACATTGCACTAGGGCACAGAGAAGCCAAAACGAAGGGAAGAAAGCAGGAAGTTAAGGATCTGAACAGAAAATATTTCAAAGGGCAGTTTGGAGGTTTCATACACAGAAATTCATTTCCTGGTAGATGTCATGTAGCGAAATTCAACAGGAGTTGGAAACATCTCTAACCATTTATAAATAAATGATAACTAAAATTCTACCCTGCTGTAATTTTGCACACCAATGTCAACTGCATGCTGGTCTTTTTTCTCCATTTCAAAGGCATTCTTCCCAGCCTGCTGTCTATTCTCCACAAGGAAATGTTAGCTCTAGAGGTCAGGAATCCAAATAGAGTAAACCAGATTGCATCATACTTACTTCAATCAGTAAATATCATATAATTTTAAAAAATATTTCTCAGTTTTTATTTCTTAGTCTTTATGAATATGTCAACACAAAGTTTCAAAACAAGTTGTATTTACATAAAAAACAGCACAAGGGGGAAGCAAAAGACAAGATAATAAATATAAAATGGGCTACTTTATGTTCTTGTATAAGTTATTTTGCTTCTCCAAAATATACTGATAACACTGGTCTGTGCATTGCTGTACAGAGGTAACTTGTGGTTGCTGTGATGCTAAACAGTGTGACACTGATGTGCCAAATGCGAGAATGGTTACCCATGGTGGACAGTGTTTGGTGGAGCTCTCTGATTAAAACAAGTCTGGAAGCAGGAGTGGCGTCCACTTCCAAAATGGCTTGCCTCCAGAAACTCTATGAACATGGAGAATTGACCAAAGTTATACAAGTGTTCAGGTCTTTCGTTCCTAGGGTCGCTTTGAGTCATCTATGACTCAAAGGTACTTAACAACAACAACAATGCAGGATACTTTCTTTATTCATAAAATGGACAGTTGATTTAACATGAACTTGAGTCCCTACCACTAAAGATTCTCTATCACCAAGGGTCTATGCATTTAACAAGTTTATTGGGTGATTCTAAAAATTAGCCAATATGAGACTCAATAGTCTATATGCTTGTGTTGTTTCCTGTTGCCACTGAACTGAATTATCTACCACAAGTTTAGAGCTTAAACCCATAGTAATTCTCTTCAATTTCTGGAGGTCAGAAGTTCAAACTGTTTCACCGAACTAAAGCTGTAGTGTTAGGCTTTCAAGGAGAATCTCCCACAGATTTTGAAGTTCTATCTCACATACTTTGGGCACATGGCCAGGAGGGACCAGTCCTATCAGAAGAACATCATGCTTGGAAGGGTGGAGGGACAGCGCAGGAGAGGAAGACCCAGGATGCGATAGATTGACTCAGTGACTGGAGATGTGGGGTTGGTTCTATCTGAAAAGATAGGATTTGCTCAGGATAGGGCAGGGTTCAGGGCTGTTGTACACAGTATCACTATGAGTTGCAGGTAATTTGACAGCACATAATAACAACAACAGAGCTCATTGCATTCCTTACCATGTGGCCCCTTCCTCCATTTTCAGAGTGCATCACTCTATCATTGCATTGTTTCCCCTCTCTTCTTGAGTCAACTCTTCCCCTTGCCTCTTTCTTTTAAAACCCAAACTCCATAGCCTTCATTCCAATTCCTCATACTCATAGTGGTTCCCAAGGCTACAAGAGGAGACTGCCCTATCTTTCTCTCTCAGAGAACCTAATAGATTTGAACCACCTAGCTACCAATTAGTCACTTGACATGTTACATCTTACATCTCTAGAGTTCCTTGTAAGGATCCTTGTAATTACATTCAGCACTCACCTGGGTTAGAAACAATTATCTTCCCCTCTCAATATCAAGATCCTTGATTTAATCATCGGCAGTGTCTTTTCCTTTTTTCTATATAAGATAGCATTCACAGGATCTAGGGATCAGGATACAGAGATCTTTGGGGACCACTATTCATCCTGAGTCACTGAGTAGTGCAAACAGTAAAATCATTTGTCTACTAACGGAAATGTTAGAGGTCTGAATCCACCCAAAGATACCTCAGAAGACAGAGTTGGCACATAATCTACTTCTGAAAGTACATGGCCACTGAAACACAGCTTCACTGTGACATGTGAAACTGTGGTGACCATACATCACAATCAATTCCAAAGCAACTGGCTTGGTTCTTTTGTTTCACCCAGGCTGCCATAATAATTTTTGCAAATTTCACTAACAAGCTATGTTCCATATTCCCATTAAGGTGAACTAGAAATACTAGACTCTTTCTGTAGGAGAAAAGGCATTTGATATTCAATCTCTACCTTGACTTCTTGCTTTCACCTTCCTGCCCAGCAAGAGAAAGTGAGGTACAAAGCAAGATAACAAAATAAGTGTGTATCTCCACTTAATTCCCCCAGGAACTAACTAAACAGCAAAACCCAAACACCACAAACAGGGATTACAGAGAAGGAACTATTCAGAGGAATCTATAACCCAATAGTTTTAAGGTAGTATGCAAGTAATCACATGTTTTGGGGGTCATGTGCTTTCTTTGGGCTTGTGTTTGATGTGCGGTACTGCTCTCCCTTCCTGAAGCGAGGGCCTCGAGGCTTGGCCTAGGGTTTAGGGCAGGCAGTGGCTTAATTTTTTTTCCTGTCAAACATTCTTCTAGGTGGTATAGCACTTGTCTGTGCATTGCTGTACAGAGGTAACTCGTAGTTGCTGTGATGCTGAACACTGGGACATTGATGTGCCAAATGTGATAATGGTTACTCATGGTGGACAGTGTTTGGTGGAGATTTCCAATTAGAACAAGCCTGGAAGCAGGAGTGGCGTCCACTTCAGAAATGGCTTGCCTCTAGAAACTCTATGAACAGTGCTCAGGCCTTTCATTCATAGGGTTGCTATGAGTCGTCTACGACTTGACAGCATCTAACAACGACAATGATGATGACAAAGCTGACTACTGGAAAGTGGGTGAATATTATGTACCATTGAGTTGGAACTGATTCATAGCTGACTCTCCAGAGGTTTTTCAGAAACTGTAAATTGCACATGATGAGACTATTCAACTTTCTCCCAAGGAACAGCTAGTGGATTCAAATAACTTTTTTTTCTGAGTTCACAACATTGTTCCTTACCCTATAGGCCACCAGAGCTCCCCCTGGCATTGCAGAAGAGTGCTTTTGAATTTAGCTACAGCCCCAAATGGCTGAGAACTAGAACTGAGCTAGAAGGAGAATATTTCAGACTGACCAGCGACACAGAAATAGCTTGCCCTGCCCACAGCAGGACACCACGGGAAAGCCTGTTCTTGGGTACCCATAAAGGAAAGGTATGGAGAGGTCCCAACCTCGGCCATAGGAAAGTCAGGTCCCCCACAGCTTACACTAACATCTGCAACCAATTAACCCGCATTCCCACACACACATATAGAATTTCAAAGATCAAACACCTCGAACTCCGGAATCCTCATTAGCTTTCAGAAAATATAAAGTCCACTGTTGCAGGGTCTGACTTAGAGCAATGAGCAGAGTCGAGTCATTCTGTGGAGTTCTTGAGACTGAATCTTTGCACAACCAGATTGCTGCATTACTGCATCTCCCTCCTGTAGAACTGGGCACTTGGTCACTGCACTGCCAGTGATCCTAATCAGAAAAGTTTCCCACAAAAACCAGAATGCAAAGTTTAGTCAAGAAAGAAAACTAACACGACTCAGGCGAAATAATTTTTTAAACACACAAAATCACAAGAGAAGGACCAATTAAAAGCAATTATGAAGAAGAGGACATTTCTCCCATAGAGGCCACAGTAAAAAAGAATGGATAATTTTTAGACGAGGGTGAGAAATACATATATGGGAGGAAAAAACCACACAGCAGTCAAACTAGTAGAAAGCAGGAAACAAATGGAAGAAGACAGTGAGAGCCTCAATGTGGAAATTTAAAACACTATAAAGGAGAGATAAATATTGGAATTAAAGCATGAAGCAGATAAATCAGATAAACTAGAAATACTCAACAATAGAGTAGGACAGAAGATAGAATAAAATAACCAGAAGACAAAAGAACTGACCTTATCAAATATCAAGAGAAACAAGCAAACAAAAACAAAACAAACAAACAAAAACCAAAAAAACAACTAAGAGAAGAAAAAACCCAAAATAACTGTAACCAAAACAGCCTGGGATTGGTTCAAAAACAGATATATAGTCAAGCAAAATACCATGAATAACATATAATTGAAAGTAACCATCTATAGAAATGTTTTCTTCATTTATCATGATGTTGAGTATTGCTCTAGTTGTACAGATTTTTGTGTTCTTGATGTTGAGGTATAACCCATTCTGAAAGCTGTGCAGTCTTTGGTCTTCTTCAGAAAGTGATTTAAGTTCTCTTGACTTTCACCAAGTTTGTGTCATCTGCATAATGGAGATTACTGATAAGTCTTCCTCCAGACCTTCACACAGTCCACCATCTTGCATAATTTGATCAACATACAGATTGGACAGAAATTTCTATATGATACAACCCTGTTGCACAGCTTTGAAGTTTTAAACCATAACATATTTTCTTGTTCTGTTTGAACTACAGCTCCTTGGTTCGTGGGAAGTTTGCTCATGGGCACAATTAAGTGTTCTAGGATTCCCATGCTACTCAATGTTATCCATACTTTGTTGTGATCCAGACAGTTGAATGCCTTTGCATAGTCAATAAAACATAATCAGCTAAGATCTATCTGATATCAGCAAATGATATCCCTTGTACTGAGCCCTCTTTGTAATCCATCTACAGGCTGCATCCCAATACCAAGAAAACAAAAATCCTCATCACTGGATCGATAGGGTAAATGGTAGATGGAGAAAAAAAGAGAAGTTGTAAAGAATTTATTTTTACTTGGATCCACAATCAATACCCATGATAACAACAACAGTCAAGAAACTAAAAAAGGTGTTACACTGGTAAATCTATTGTCAAGGACCTTTCCAAAGGGCTGAGGAACAACAATGTTAATCGAAAGACTAAGGTATGGCTGAGCCAAGTCATGGTATTTTCAATTGCTTTTTATACATCTGAAAGTTAAACAGTAAATAAGGGTGACAGAGGAATAGATGCCTTTGAACTGTGGTGTTGGAGAAGAGTAGAGAATATCCCATAGACTGCAAAAAAAAAAAACCCCCCCCAAAAAAACAAACAAGTCTGCCTACGAGGAAGTGTGACTCGGGTCCACCTTAGAGGCAAGGATGGTGAAACTTCATCTCACATAATTTGAGTATGTTGTCAGGAGGATGCAGTCATTGAAAAAGGACAGCATTCTGGGAAAGGGGATAGTGGGTCCAAGAAAGATGGGGAGACCCTCAACAAGACGGATTGACAGTGATTACAACAATGGGCTCAAACATATCGGAGATCAGGATGATGACCTGGATAGGATAATGTTCTGATATGCTGTTCATAAGGTCACTGTAAATCATAGTTTATTGGACAACACGTAACAGCATGACCTCTTTTGAATCTACTTTCTGGCAGGTCACTGTTGATGCATTGCTCCAGTCATTGTTAAATATTCCACCAATTTTTACTTACACATAATGTTCATATTTACCAAAGCATTTGTTAGGTTCCTTCAAGTGAACTACTCATATTTAAGATTCTATGAAAAATGGATCATGAACTCTGTCCTATCCTGTGCTATCCTTATAATTTCTGGTGTATGTGAGCCCAGAGTTGCAGTCACTGTGTCAATCCAAGCCTTGAGTGCCTTCTCCTTGTGTGCTGATCCTCCAGCTTTCCAAGCATGATATTCTTTCACAAAGACTATTCCTTTTAACAACACACTCAAAAAAGCAGGATGAACTCTCACCATCTTTCACCTCTGAGTTACACCTCTAGAAGCATCCTGGTTGCACCTTCCCTAGAAGATGTATTTGTTTGTTTCTTTGTCAGTTAATGGGATATTAAATACTCTTCTCCAACACCAGAACTCAAAGGCATCGATTCTTTTTCTGTCTTCCTTACTCATTGTCAAACTTTCAGATGCATAGCTAGTAATTGAAAAGAGCATAGCTTAGATCAGCTATATGTACTCTTTAGACTTACATCATTGCTTGTCAGCACTCTGGAGAGGTCCTTGACAGCAGATTTTCCCAGTGTAACACATCTTTTGATTTCTCAACTACTGGTATCAAGGGTGATTATTGTGGATCCAGGTAAAAAGAAATGGTTGACAGTTTCAATCTTTTCTCCATCTATAATAATATTGTCAATAATAATTATCAATAATTGTCAATAATAATTATGTCAATAGACATAATGATGAATATTTTTGTTTTCTTGCTGTTAAGATGTAATCATATTGAAGACTATACTCTTCGATCTTCTGTAGCAAGTGCTTTAACTTTCAGCAAGAAAGGATGTGTCATTGCATAACACAAGTTGTTGAGACTTCTTTCTATCCTAATGCCACATTCCTCTCCATAAAGCCCAGTTTTTCAAATTATTTACTCAGCATAAAAATTGAATAGGTAGGGAGAAAGAATACAACTCTGATGCATGTTATTGTTATCGTTATTGTTATGTGCTCTTGGATGGCCTACGACTCACAGCGACCCTATGTACAACAGCTTTGAAGCCTGCCCTGTCCTGAGCCAGTCTCACTGATTCTGACATACCTACCCTCATTGCCCCAGTTACTATATCAATCTGCCTCATCAGAGACTGTCATCTCTTCCTATGCTTTCCCTCCACCCTTTCAAGCATAATATCCTTCTCCAAGGATCAATCTCTCCTGGTCACATGCCCAAAGCATGTGAGATGGAGCTTCAAAATCCTAGCCACCAAAAAGAAACTTGGTTTCACCCTCTCCAACTCTTCAAAACAGACATATTTGTTTTCTTGGTGGTCCATGGTATGTTCAAGACTCTTCTCCAGCACCACAACTCAAAGGTATTGATTATTCTTCTGTCATCCTTAGTCATTGTTCAGCTCTCTGATGCATAGCAAGTAATAGCAAAGACTGTAGACTGGATCAGGTGGGCCTTAGTCTCTAGGTTGACATCATTACTTCTCAGTACTCTGGAGAGGTCTCTGGCAGATTTACCTAATGCAGTTCTCTTTTGATTTCCTGACTTCTGGTGCCAAGAGTGTTGATTGTGGAGCCAAGCAAGCTGTAACTGT